TGTGTATCCCGATCACTGACGTATCCTTCTACGAAAGGAGGATACGTCATCCTTCCTTCTGTAGACGTATCATTCGAAAGAATACTGTGTTATGCGTTTTCTGGACCTACAAAAGGCCTTCGATATTGTGAATCACCAAGAACTATTGGGTATAAGCTTCACCGTTATGGAGTTAGGGGAACTTTCCTTACACTTATTCAGTCTTACCTCAGGGACAGAGAGCAGTTCGTCGCATTGAATGAGTTCAATTCCCCCTTAAGCCCCATCAATATAAGTGTACCTCAGGGCTCTGTCCTTGAGCCTTTATTCTTTAATAATTTTATTTATGATATTGCTTCATCTTTTAATGTAAATTGTAAGTTTTTTGCCGATAACGCTGTGTTCTAGGTCTCGAGAAACTCGTTTGATCGACGAAGCGTGCGACAATATTTCAGAGCTGTCATTGAATCTGTCGAGATGGCTTCTAGCAAACAAGCTAGTGGCTCATACAGACAAGACCAAGATGATGCTTTTTACTCCCAGACCCGTTTCCGTTTTACGTGACATCACCTTCAATAGGACAATTTTACAATGGGTAGATGAATTTGGGTATCTTGGTTTAATCCTTGATAACAAAATCTCCTTCAATAAACACATTAACCACGTCTGTCAGGAACTGAGTAAAGCCCACGGATTTCTGCGTGCTTTATCAAATGTTTTACATTCCCCTTCATTAAAAACCCTTTTTTACGCATTTTCCTTATCAAAATTATCAAGCAATTTAGAATCTAGGGTGGTGTACCGTTCAATAAAAAAAAACGGGTCATCACATCATTAAATAAATCGTTGCGTTCTATGATTAGGATTAGGTATGACGATAATAATATTCCTTTGATATGCACTAACGAATTATACAGGCGGTCGAAAATTTTAAAACCTGATGATATGTTCAGATTTCAACTTTTAAAGTTCATGAATATTGCACTTTACCATGATGAACGTCTTTTTACCACGTTTTTCTTAGCTCGCTTTCGTGTCCGTCTCTCTGTCTGTCTGTCAGTTAGTGATGATCAAATCTTGCAATCGATATTTCATCAACTTTCCCGCTAGCTAGCGCTCTGAAACTTTTAGGGAAGCTCAGCTCCCGATGACAATACAATAATCAATAATTTGTTGCACGTTTCCAGGCGTATTTATCACTATTATAAACAAGTTAATTTTCGAAGTGGAAATTGATCGCAGCGCCATTCCCCCTAAAGCGGCGATTTTCAGAACTGAAAAACGCGGTTAATTCTCGCACGTGTGACGGACATTTAAAATTTGAGAACGCGCGCCCCTAAAAATGCACAACGAATGTAAAGAAAGAAAAATTTCGAACATAAAACTAAAAAGTAGAAAATAAAATGAATAAAAAAATTTTTAAAGACCACGTTTTTCATGTGGACTAAAAGGTAGAAAATAATTTTTCGACAGCTACTGATCTCTGTTTGCTTTCATTCTCTTGGTCTTTTGTATTTCAGTTAAAATATTTTACAACATCTAAAACGAAAAACGTGGGGCGCATATGTATTTAATTGNTTGCTCCTCAATGTTTTTAAAAATAAAATTCCGTGATTTTATCCTTAACCAGTATTAATTTGATTTCTATTATTATGCAAGTTGTAGGCATTTTGGCTAGATGTTTGCAGTTGTTCTCTGTTTTAATAAGTGTAATGTTGATATTGCCTCTTCTATGCTGATTTTTTTACTATAGCATGTGGTTACCAGTTTTTAAGGCTTATGTCAATGGTTTTGATTATTTTTAGAAATTTGTTACTTGTTTGTTCTTTGTTATTTTATTTCACGTCTCTTTAATTGTTCATTGTAACGTGTGCTCCTGTGTGAATAAATAAATAAATCAAATGAAATTAGTGAAATAACGTCCTGAGATTTCTCGCCAATTAAGATGTTCTCTGAACGACGTCTATAAGCAGTGAACCAGACAGGTATGGCCAAAGTGCTGCTGTTTAGATTACGAAATTTCACGGTTTAAAATATTTCAAGCTATGTCGCCGGCTTTTCCGGAAAGACTCATTATATTCCCGATGAGTTCATAGAAGACAACTGGATCATGCCTAATATTTAACATAAATCAATTAAACTTGTGTCACTTTCCGAATCAATCTCCCTGCAGCCGTACGCATCTTTCACGACGCCGATACCATGATTTCACGGCCGCTGCGAACGTATCTGCGAAGAAATGACGTAAGTTTGCGCTACAATAAAATGACACTAAGCGACAACGAATTTGTTATAAGGTGACATGGGGCTTAAAAAGCAGTCCTGCAATCAGCCCTGCCTGCAATTGATGATCTGTAAGGAAGCGTATAATTATTCACAAAATATTAGTATTATATTACCAGAGTAATTTCAAAATTATAGTTTTGATTGATAAAATCACGTGGCAGTTCCAAAAATATGGTTTGTATAATTTTTAATCCCGTAATACTGCTTTACTCAGTTTTCCAGTTTCCAAATTTCAAAACTCTTATCTTAGTATTTTCTAAATCTAAACATAAATGCAGCATAAGAGAAAATTTAGCAATTGATACAATAACAAATAATATTCAATATACCTCTTTGCAGATCAGTTTTCTGAACACAACTTTACCAAGTCAGAGAACTGCCCAATCATTTCATTATAGGTCTTCAGCCAAATCAATGCAGTTTGTACATTTATTAGAAGGAAAATTTGAGGCAATAAACATTGAAGAATCATCAGTGATTTCTAATGTGGCAAACAAATTATACAATGAACCGGATCTTCTGGGACAAAACTTCAGGTATTGAAAGAGTAATTTTTACAATCGTTTGGATAAAATGATCAAGATTTTTGTTACAATTTCATTGGTTAAAGTAAAAATAAAACACCTAATATAGTAAAACACCAAATAAATGATTTATCTCCGTTTTTGTATCAGTAAAGGGGGCCAATCTCATCTTGAACAGGAAAATCGTGCCATCTTCTTAGCATTATTTTCAGATTGTCAAGCTGACAATCGCTTGAAAAATCATTCAGGTAATCGGAAAATGCTTATCAGCAGCCATGATAATTGATCAATCATGCACTTATTTTGGGATTTCCTGAGCTATGTGGGTAAAATGGGTTCCCTGGAATCATTGAAAACTGCAAAACGCTAAATTTTCTTAATATCGCGACAGGAATGTCGGTAAAAATTGAAATTCCAAATTAACGTCATTAAAACAATTTGACGGTGTGTAAGGCCTGTGGTTATGTTCCAATACATTACGATGAATTTATTTCTAGCCCGTGAAAGAAAAACATTGCAACTAACATGAATTTTGGTCTCGTATAACAGTTTAGAAACCTTTCTATCAAATGCGATTGATATTTTAGGTAGTTGCTTTCGCGTACGCCGATGAAAGATTTGCATGTTCATACTATATATGCGTGAATGTGAATGTAACAGTAATGGTCAATCAATAACAGTTTAGTGATAGAAATTTTAATATTTACCAGGATCATTAAATTTTTCCTTTAATCTTAGTTACGAGGGAGTTAACTCCGCTCAACACAGAAGCTCTAAAACTCAAGTCAGGGCGGGGGCAGAGGAAAGCTAACAAGGAGAGCACGGAATCATATCCAGCTAGGGTGGATAGCTAGAGGTCAGCATAGCCCAAGTCCACAGTGCGATTCATATACCTTCCCGAGCGTATGTACCTCCTATGTATACATTCTTCGTATACCATTATTATAAACAAGTTTGAAATAAACTAATTTCACAGCAGACTTGGTAACCAAGCTGAAGCTCTTCCCAAAAGTTAAGATGATTGACGCATCGTGGGAACTACAAGAGCAGACTGGGATGGTTTCCAGGTACCAGGTGTCATGGACACCAAATGGAGCTAATAAACCTACTGCATCGTGCTACGTCGACACGACTAAAACAAACACGTCGAGCTGTGACGTGTACCCGACCATTGGCAGCTGCACTCTCTACACCGTCACGGTGCAGCCCCAGACGCTCAGTCAAAGCACCCCCAGCTTCACTGGCACCCCAGCGTCAGCAGCTGACTACACCCTGCTGGATGGTGAGTGAAGACGAAAATTTTTTGTTTTTCCTGCCATGAACGGTTTTAACTAAAACATTGCCGCCCTTGATTCAATTAGGCTTTAATGTGGTTTAGTGAGGAATAAAATATTATATTGTGCAAAAAATATCCTTTTTGTTTCAAAGTGTCGAAAAATAATTATCTAATTAATTTTTCGTATAGTATTAGCTTTGCATAAAATTAAATCTTGTTTGAAATTATAAACAAAACTTGTTGTTTCACGATTTTATTAGAAAGTTAAAAAAAATTCTCTTCGTCAGTGTCAAGCCCAGTGACAGTAACTAACGTCACTTGCGCTAACATCGGCCAGAGCATCACTGTGTCGTGGGGGAACGCAGGGGCTTGTGTGGAGTACGTAGTATCATACACGGGGGTTGCTATGTGGGGGGACCGGCAGGTCACTATCGGTAACTTTATTACTCGCAACAGCCCAGCAACTTTCTTGAACCTCGTGCCGTATGCAAATTATTCCATCCAAGTGGGTACGAAGGACGCGCCTAATCTTGCAGCCTGTTTAGCTAAAACCGACCAATCACGTGAGTTGTGGGCTGAAAACTTAATTTAATCCGAATTCCTATTCATATTTTCTATTTATATATCTTATAAAGCTAGAATCTCAAAAACAAGTAAAAATGCTCATAATATCAGATTTTATTCCAACCTCTTCCCATTCCAGAGCCTTCGGCACCATTGAACTTGGCGTTCGAGGGCGTCACCGCAACATCGTTCACCGTGACTTGGCTGAAGCCCGTCCAGGAAAACGGCCTGATCGCGGAATACCAAGTCCAGTGGATTAGCACGGATGATAGTTTGAAGAGTCAGAGTATCTTGGATACGCGGTTGACAATTGCGGACCTGAAACCTTGTGTAAATTATACGGTTACAGTGGCAGCTTCAACATCGGCTGGTAGAGGACAAGAATCTAAGGCGTCGCAACAAACTGTTGTGGCAGGTAGGACACACGTAAGAAGTGCGGTGTTTGAGTAATTTCCAACCACCCGTCTTCTATATTAATCATATAACATTGTTTCGGTCTTTTGAATTTCCAACACACTCTAAATGGACTTGAAGAAAAGTATGAACTTTTAACATTTTCATGCTCGTATTATGGGCATGATCACCTCAGCGAATACATATTCAACAAAACTTGTTTATTTTCATATATGTAGTAAGCCAAGAGCGGATGAACAAATTCATTTTTAATTTTTTTATTTATTTATGATATTTTTCTATGTTTCAAGTACCCCCAGCTGTCGGGCCACCTCAGATGCTCTTTGTGTCGAGTCGCAGCACGAATCTGACATGGATCAAACCTGACACCAAATGCACCGTGGTTGGATACACCGTCAGGTTCAGCGGGCAAGCCATGTGGGGTGTTAATGCTACAATTAACGATACTTCCCTAAAGACCATTACTTCGGCTATACAAATCACTGGTTTGAAGCCTTTCAGCAAATACTCCTACACAGTCACAGCAGCAACAGCAGCTGGGGAAGGGGCTCCTTCCCAACCACAATACATTCAAACGGAGGTTGATGGTAAGTGTCTATACGGAGCTAAGCTCTCAATAACCAAGGTAATTTCGTTAGTCTTCATCAATCATTCATGTTATTGAACATCGTGAAGTGTTTTTAAATCGCATTATGAAATAACATGATCGAAGGTACATATTGCAAGTCCATCTCTAGTAATGAAAGATGATCTCAAACTGATGAAGATAGAACAACTGTTAAGCCCTATAGGCTTAGGCGAATTTTCGACACTCGGATTTCAAAAAGTTTTATTCAAGAATCTTGTGAAAGCATAGTTTCTGCAGGTATGACATAAGAAATATTAGCTATCTACTATAAATTGAGACATAAGAAAAACAAATATAAGAAAAATTACATCCAAGTAAACCATGAAAATATCAGATTAAAATCAATAATGAATGACTAATAAGTTGCAGTACTAAGCTAACTCACCGAAATATTTTGCCACTAAGACAATTCTGAACTGCAATTGACTATCTAAATTCAAGTAAATTTCGGGCGAACGACTGAATTAAAGGACTACGTGAAGCGTACATATGAAATTGCGATTGCAACTCTATTGAGCTGATCGGAACGGTACAAAGTAAATGACTTTTTATAGTAAACTTGTTTCCTTGCTAACAAAATATCATGGAAATACCCAGTTGATACAAAGCTCAACAAATGAGTTATCATTTGCAGGATATTTGCAGCGAAAAACAGGGCAAAACTGATCCTTATGTTGCATTAGGACTTTTATCTCAGCCCAATTCTCATCAAACGTAGAGTTCCATTGTTCAATTTTTGCATTAACTTCTGCAGTGGGAAATTAACCAAAATTTTAATATGTGCATTTATCATTCACTGGAGTGGTCAACTGTAAGACTATTTAACTTCAAATTATCGCCTATTTTCAGCTCCAAGTGAGCCAACTCAACTTCGCGCAGAAGCCTTAAATTCAACGTCAGTGCGGGTGTCCTGGCTGGCTCCCACGGAGGAAAATGGCATCATCACTAACTACACGATCCGCTCACAGCTCGCGGGAAACGGTACTGAAGCTGATAAAGAACAGATAATCACCACACCAGGCAACCGCTTCACCTGCGACGTTACAGGCCTGGTCCAGTGCAGGGTTTACAACTTCTCTGTTGCAGCGTTGACGAGCCGCGGTGAGGGACCGAAAATTTCATTACAAGGGAGTCCCATGACTACCGGTGAGCGGTGATAATCGCTTTATATTAAATTTAAGATTTTATGATGAGTACCTGTGTTCAAAGCAACTCCTAGTGCAAGATGCTTTGCACCGAATTCCGATTATAAATACTTATTATTGGAAAATATTTTTTGAACCGATCCTAAAATGGTAAAAAGAAACTGAAAATTCAACTTACAAACCCTCTCAATTTATTCGCTGCATCTATTGTTCTTATGTACTGAGATTTATTTAAATAGAGACTGAGCTTTGAATGGACACTTTTTGTGCAGCACCAGCGGCTCCCCAAAACCTAAATTGTTTCCTAAACGATAAGGGTTCATTAAGTGTTTTCTGGACTAAACCGGAAACGTATTGTAAGATCACAAGATTTTCGATTACCTCAAACGTTACTGTAAAGTGGTCCAACGTCAAATTTGGGTTCTTAAATTCTACCGGAGAAAGAACGCCTCAACTTGTGCTGGACCAGCCATATCCTGACTCGGATTACACGATCCAAGTGAAGGCCGTGCTGGGCAATTCAACCAATGGGGCTGAGGTCGTTTGCAAGATCACGACAGCAGAAGCTGGTAAAACCGTCGATATGACTAACTTTTTCTTTCCCTGAATTCTAGTGAACACGTGAGCACTTTAGTGAATTTTTTTATAATTTACTTAATTTTACCAATATGAAATGATTAGCCATCTCCCACGTGGGCAATTGCGGGCGACTCTCACCCGAGTGTTCATCAACTATAAGCATTTACTGCTTCGTAAGAGTGATTATGGAGTAGATTGTTTTGACTTAATAATTTATCACTCATTTAGGTTACATATGCACGTTAAAGTTTGACTGCTGTCAATTTAAGAGTTAGTAATACATGACGGCAAATTTCATGTGCTAAATCTTCTTGATTTACTATCCGTAGCTCCAAGCGCTGCCCGAAACTTGACACTACTTGAGGCCCGGAGTAACGCTCTCGTCATACAGTGGGAAGCACCTGAGAAGCTCAACGGCATCGTGCGCTATTACTTCGTCAGCAGCGGTCGCAGTGATGAAGTTGTCAGAAACGTAACACTCTACGTCAGGCCTGATGAAACCCGCTTCAACTGCACCGTGGCGGGACTGACTGCTGGGACGCACTACAACATAAGCGTGCGGGTGAGAACGGGGCTAAAACATGAACATATATGGAGCTAAAACATGACCACAGGGTGTATTAACCTTTTCTAATGAACAGTACACTACATACCATTAAAGACATCCAAATTATTCTGAAGGTTAAAGTATATTAACGTAAATTAGTGAGAACCAAAGGTAAAATATTTTATTCATTCGTCTTGAAATCTGCCTGATTTTTTAATTTTGCTGGGCAACAACATTAAGTTTTTCTTGGCCTAAACTCGCTTGAAAAGAAAACCTAAAATCTCCTCTTGTGTGAGGGTCTCTTTGTGTGGCGCTCATTGTAACAGGATTTATCAAAATAAGCAAGTGGCAAATATATGCCACATGTTTTTTTAAACTAGTCAAAATTCTCAGAATCTTGCTCCTACATCGAGAACAAAAATTTCTAAAAACTTCGGTTATGGTCTTTCATTAACTAGGAAAAACTGTTAGTCTTGGACCAAAAATACTAAACCTAACCTGATTAAATTAAATCTGAAATAGATAACCGAAAGTCCGTGTGTTGACTTGTCACAATAAATATGCTTGCGTTCTAACACATGTAGGCTGCCACGACGAGAGAAGGTGAGGCAGTGGTTATTCAGTTCACCACAGCGTCACCAGACCCAGAAGGAGTCGTTGTCATCGCCTTGTTGGTGGTGATGCTCATCGTGGGGCTCTCGGCCGCCGTCTACAACCATGAAGTCATTCGCGAGAAGTTCAACTCACCATCATCCAGTTGCGGTCGAAAGTCTGGTTTGATTAAGAGGTATTTATATTACTATTATTACTTATAATGGTCTACTTAAAAAATCAGTCGTTGCTTTTGGCAAACAAATTCGTCGGTAAAATTAGTGACGATTCCAGCAGTTTTATTTCCACTGCTGAAATACACTGCTATGTAACTTGATCTTGAAAAAATTAGCGATTCTTCATCTTGATCTCGCTCTTGTATGCAGGCGCTCACAAAGTTCTACGAAGTTTAATCGTTATCACTAACGTTATGAGACTTTAGCACATTTTTAATACTTATTGCAGGTCGAGCAGCAACGAAGATCTTCGTAAAGGAATACTGGATGCAATTTTGCAGGTGACGGAGTTTCTGACGCTGTGTTGGTTTATTACATAAGTTTTAGATATGAGAACCGTCACTAAGTCTTCAATGGGCCTTTCCCAATGAGTGCGTTGCTCCAACGCGTGTTTCAATTGCACAACGAAAACTCATTCGTGCGATATAGCTCAATAATTGTCATGTAAAAATCAATTTTTGTTAAAATGTCATAAAAACATTGTAGGTCAATGCTAAAATTTAAATAGTTCATTTATGCAATCAAACGCCGTTTGTGTAGTTTGAAGATGATGGCCAGAAGTTGCTGACTGCGTTTGAGAAGCTGAGTGCGAGTAGCAGAGATGCCACCAAGGACGCTGGCCTTCGCCACCAAAATGCCGAAAAAAATCGTTACCACGACATTTTGCCGTGTGAGTACATCCCTGTTGTTTTGTTACCGAACAAAATAAACAAAAATAATTTTAATTCTTTATGATTGTTGAAAGCTAGTCATAATTCCGATTTCACATTAAAAAATGTAAAGGGTATCGCTGTTTCAATCTGCCATTAATGGTGACAAAGAAACAGAAGTTTTTACAAGTTAGATTTTCTCGGTCTCTATTAAAAACTCATATTCTCATTTACACTGAGTGATCTTATTATTACCCTTATTGAGATAACAATATAGTTCTGTTCTCCTTCCTCATTTTATATTTGAAGCTCGGTAACGAATAAAAAACACTTGATTACAATTTATACCCTACAGTCGACGACACACGTGTTATACTACACGACGAGTGGAACACAGACTACATCAACGCCAGCTATGTTAAGGTGTTGTTCTCAAAGAGTAGAATTTCAACTATCTTCCCATTTTTACTGTCTAAATTGTATTAAAATGAAGAATGCCACACCACACTCTCCTATTCGATTCTAATGAAATGACCGCAAAGATATTTTAAAGAAGGACTTCGCGGTTGGTTTGAAATTTCACATTTTGGCATTATCTTGCCACTACAGTTTCAGTCCAAGAGTTGTGCAGTGAGCATTGGTAAAAACTTTTAAAAACTATTAATGCAAAATAATCAATAAGTGAAAAATAAATAAACTTCTACTTGGATGGAAAAGTATATTTTATTCTCAAATGCGTACTATTTTCCCTGTTAGACTCGAATGTTCAATGAAATTCTTCGTTGTTGTAGGACGCTGTCGGCAGCGTGCGCTTCATCGCGTGTCAGGGACCGAAGCCTGGGACTGTGCCGGACTTCTGGCACATGGTCTGGCAGGAACAAGTAAAAATTATTGTCATGTTAACGGATTGCTACGAAGGTCGTGAGGTAATTATGGTTAGACGTGAACGGTCGCCTCAGTGCAGCAAATTTTTTAATGAAAGAATGCTCTTGAAGGAAAGTATTTTGAGCGTATTTACTATTTTTTTAGTATTTTTATACTAAAAAAAATATCTAGAATAAATAATATAAAGTCGTGTTAAGCAAATGAATTACAGAGGTTCAAAATTGAAAGGAGCATGAATTTTTTAACATTCAGCACAATTAAAAATCTTATTAAAATGACTGATATCGTCTAAATTTATTCTGTAATTTGTGACAGGCAAAATGTGCTACGTACTGGCCGGAGGATGTGAAGTCATCGTTCATGGCAGAAAAATATATTGTTACTCTGCTGGCTGAGGACGAAGGCTCAGACTACACACAGCGCAAACTCCTCCTGCAAAACGAAGTATTGAATACTTTCTAGCAATTTTTATTACGTTTTTTACGACAGCTTTTACTCATTTAACGCGCGATTCGTTTCAAAGAACAACTTCATTAGATTGCTTATTTACTGTATTCAGTGTCTGAATCCATGCAATATTTCGCCAATTGATAACTGATGTCACCAAAATACTCACCCTTTGAGTTGGCTCATTGTTTAGTTATTAATATTTGTATTGTGTATCCGAGCTCAGGATTTAAGAAACTCGTGTGAAAATATAGTGAAAAAAGTTTGCATTCGGGAGTTAGTAAAATTTTGCTAATATATATTCAAGGAATGAATTTTTAATTTAGTAATTAAAATGAAATTTTAATTTTTAATTGGTTTTGCCAGCCAAGTCCTGCCAGAGAAATCGTGCAGCTGCACTTCACGTCGTGGCCTGCGCACGGTGTCCCGGCCAGCGAGGCGGGGCTGCTGAGGTTCATCAGCAGCGTCAAGGAACTGGTCGGGAACTCTGATGTTCCTCAAGCCTCGATCGTTGTACACTGCAGGTCGTTGATTCAAGCTTCTTTTATATAAATGCTTCCCTTCTACGTAGAAAATGATCTTTTACCATAGTTGAGTAACTTAAAATTAAAATATTCTAGTCATATCGTAAACCAAATTATATTGATAGTACTATGATTGAACGATATTAATTTTGATTATGATAATATAAAAAATGTGTTCGCTGAAACAGTACGCAAATCTGGTTTTCGTTAATACACTGACATATACGCTGGTTGAGCATGCAGAAAATAATCAGCATGTCAATGAAACGCATCCATTTACGAAACAACGTGATGTTAAATTAGGTTTTATTTTGAATTTCGATTTTGTTTGAAGAACCACATTTTTAGCGTATTTTCTAATTTATAGAAAAAAAGACGCTATTGTGCTCGTTATGTCCGTCCGTCTGTTTGTCCGTCTGTTCGTTTGTCTGTCCGTCTGTCCGTGACCAAGTTTTCGTCGACGAGAAAATGCGCTCTCTGTCACTCGTTGCAATGATTACTGAGTTATATTTTTTACGACTATGACAGTGCGGGGGTGGGCAGGACGGGCACCTTCATCGCGCTGTGGAACCTCCAGCAGCAGCACCAGCGGGGCGCCCCCATCGACATCGACGCGACCATCCTCAAGATCAGGGAAGACAGGAGCTTGCTCGTACAGTCTAAGGTGAAAAGCAAAATTCTGAAAACGAGTTATTTTAATATCTACGGCTGCTATAATCACCGCGGGCATTCAAAGTGGAATTGAAGTAGTTTCTTACCTATATGCTTCTGTCGATCGAATTACAAGGCTGAACTTTTAATTATTCTATGTGATAGTTAGCTAAGGCCAAGCTCAGCCGCTCTAAGGAGCCTTGCTAGTTAGGGCGTTCGTGTCAAACCTATGGCCATGGGGAATATTTTCCACGGCAAACCTATGGGGAAATAGCGATGAGACATTATAGTTTTGAGCAAGGCTTATAGAGAGCCTTGCTCATAGCTCCTAAGGAGCTCCGGCGCTATGCTATGATAAGAGATATAATCGTCCCGCCGAGGCTCAATTTCGTTTGATTCTAAATCACGAGAAATCTCGTAACTCAATCTTTCATTATGTATTAAATGCGGCATTGTGTTTTGTAATATCTATGAGAGCATATTTTTCGTATCAATTGCCGACAATATGTGCCACGAGTTCTGTTTGCATAATACGAGTAAGATTCTGAGAAGAACAGCCGGAAAATATGATCCCTCCTCGCCAGCATATTCTGACGAAATTTATGCATTCCACACATAACCACAATAATAAACCACAAATACCAAGGAGACTGGAACTTAACTTGACCAGATTATTTATTGAGTATAGTTTCCATTTCTCATCACCAAGGAGAACACCGGACATTTGTACGCTGATGAACAATAGAATTATATATAAACAAAAAGCATTATACATTACAACGGTGACTTCCGACTGCACATATACGGTAAAATAAAAAAAATTAATGAACTATTTCTCGATCACCCTGTCAGTTTTTATTCATTTTAAGTTCAGGAAATGCATATGAGTCACATTCCTGAGATCATTTGCAATAATTCTACGTACACTCAATACACTCACGTGGCGGAGTAGTCACGAGTATAGTAATAGTAGAGGAATGGTTGTTATTAAAGTCGAGTATTGACGATGCGCTTGAACATCATTCACCAATTTGAAAGCTTATGAATAGTTTAGGCGCTTAAAGATTGTCTGACACAAATGTTATTTATTATTCGGCAATAGCTTAATAGTAAATACCGGCACCTTTCCGGAAAATTTTGGTATTGCTTGATAGACAAAATAAATGCAGTCTGTTGGATTTCTTTTGTCTTTTTTCTCTCAAAATTTGGCCCAATAAAATTGCTGCAGTTACTGTAAACACTTTATAGTAACGTATGTCGGTCTTTAAAATCGTTCCCAAATTGCATGTAGAATTCGAAGATCACTCGATAGGAATGATTTTAACTCATCGTCACAGAAAGCTTTATGCCTTTTCTTCATCGCGTCTGCAGGAGCAGTACCTGTTCATCTTCAAGTGCTTTGCAGAATACCTGCGCTCAACTGAGATCTTCAACGAATATGGTGAGATCGATCACTTTTTAACACAATTTAGATTTCCTAGTTTCATTCAGTAATAAATTTACACGTATTTCTTCTCCAACGATTTTTTCTGTTGATTGCAGTAGCAGTAGTGGACAAACTGGCTATGTTGCCTTTGAACGTTTCATATGAACGGCCATTAATTTGATAATGAAAGAATTAATCAATTCTAGATTATCGTGCCTTGGCGATGCAAAACTAATTTTTCATTAACTCAAAAATTAATGTTCTTATCCACGCGAAAAAAATGACGTAAGGCTCATCTGCTTAATTTTGTTGTTTTTTGTTTGTTGTTATATAACTGTTTAATCTGGACTTAGCTGAAAATTACTTGAATGTTCCCGCTAAATAATGTTGTAAAGATCAATAATATTCTTAAGATTTTATTGACACTTTAACCAATTAATGTGTTGATGAAGTGAAACAATTTTCCAGGGAGCAATAGTTTGGCGACAACCAGCGGCGATGTGAGGGTAGTTCCCAGCTCAAACTCAACTGAACCTGACGATGAAGCCGAGTGTGCTGAAGCCTTGTTGAAAATAGAGGTCTGAGTTTCATGGAATTACCATGAAGATACAAGTTGAATGTAGTTAATCAACGATTAACGGTTAATGGCTTTTGTAGCATATAACGTTTCCTGTATTCTTAATATCTAGCCGCTAAGAAGAAGCACGTTTTAGAAGTCGTGCTCCGTACGCCTTCGTTCCTGTTTCACGTTCATTATGTTGGTTCCAATAAAGCCTGTTCCGTGCTGCCGTGTTCTTCCCACCTTTCACGCGCGTAACTTCATACATTACAGCTTTGCTAACCATTAATACGTCTGAAACAGAGAATAAATGTGTAATTTACTTAATCAATGCAATTTCGTGATAAAACATTGAAAATTAATTAATTAAATTAATCCTTTACCGTATGGCTTTGGGCCACTCTTCTCATAAATAGTGAAGAAAAGCAACAATACCCAACACAGCCTTTCTACGACATCTGACACTGACGAAGCAATACAATCATTGTAAGTCGGGTTGAGTGGTTTGGCGCTCCTTGCAGCAATTTTAATTAACAATTAGTATCTTTTATGTTCTCAATATTTTAGGAAATTATCACCCGAATAAACAGTTCCTTGATTCGGCCAAATCTGGAATGAAGTAACAAAATTTAAAAAGGATTTTGGGTACCATGTTGTTCTCAATCATCCGGCCAATTCACCGATTTCAATCGAAATTTTTATATTTAGCTGGGGGCTCGAACTCTCAGTCACTTTTCCAGTCGTATTGCACCAGACTTTACACAGTATTAGGTGCGCTCATTAATTTTCAACCTTCAACCTCTTTCTGACATCAAAATACTTCGAAATCGACCGGTATTCGAGGTTTTCCTTTAATTCGGGGAATGGGGAGTCTTGGATGGGTGAGATGTCAGTTTTCTTGGTCGTGATGAAGATGATGAGGGTTATGCCTCTAACTCTACGGGACCAGTCCGGCAATCAGCTTCGAAGCAGAAGCGCCCCTGGATGAGGAGGCATGATCGAGTAGCGCTTTTCCCCATGAGCGAGAAGCGCCCATATAAGGGTGAGGTAAGGAGTTGGGAGCGAGCACACCGGTATGTGGTGTTGAACACTCGTATATACAAAAGATGTTAGAGACAGATGTATGAATGGTATAATTGTTACACTTCGTAGTGACACGCAGTCACTGTTAGAAGGCTGCAACTTCAAATGGGTGGGAGGGTGCTAAGGCTTAGAACGAGCACCAACGACGAGAATCACGATTATTGTCACGAGTGGCCTAAAGCCTCCGATGTTTTTCTCTCGCTAACCACCAAAAATCAATTAAACTTGTGTCACTTTCCGAATCAATCTCCCTGCAGCCGTACGCATCTTTCACGACGCCTATACCATGATTTCACGGCCGCTGCGA